TGCAGCAGGATCAGCATCGCCATGCAGCGGTGGCTTGTGGCTGCAGCAGCAGCAGCTGCTGCTGCTGCAGAAGCAACAGCTGCTGCTTCTCCAGCACTGCTCGAGCTCTGCTTATAGTATTCTACGTAGTTTTGAGCTGCTGCACTTTTTGCTGCTGTCTGAACGATCACGGATGCTGCTGATCCAACGCTGCAGCAACAGCAGCTCACTGCAGCTGCAGTTGCTGCAGCTGCAGTTGCTGCTGCTGCAGTTGCTGCTGCGGCAGTTGCTGCTGCTTCCTTGAAGTATGAGATTCAGTCTTCCATAGCGGTTTTGTCCCTCGCAGTTCTCTTATTTTCTGCTGCCCCTGTTGCTTCTGTTGCTGCTGTTACTACTGCTGCTCGGTAAACAACAGCAGCACCAGCTGCTGTTTCTGCAGCAGCTGGTGCTGCTGCTGCAGCTGTTGCTTCTGCTGTGGGCATGCATGCGTTCCCCCTGAAGTATACTCACCCGAGTTTGCTGTTTTCTGGCATATCAGCGAGCTCTCCGTACTTGGCAATGAGAATACAACTTGCAATGAAACCGACGATGCGTAGAGCAGCACGCCACTTGGGGGAGATGTACTCCTGAGGAGCCTCCCGCATCATTCCTGGGAACAACATCTTGATAAAAAGGCAAAAAAAAGTGGAAAGAAGAAAAGAAATAAATATATTCAGAAAAACTCGAGCTGGCAACGAGAAAACTGCTCGTTGCTACGATATCGGCGACAGCCTACAACGTTGCCTTCCGAGGAACTTGAGGGTAAATCGCCGCAAAAAATGCTAGAAACCTGGGAATATGAATCTTCTGCTCAAAGTATAAACGAAAAGAAATACTATACTGAAAATTTTATCGTAGAACAAGCAGAAACGGCCAAGAAACCCGGGGGCTCAGCAGCGCACAACGAAGTTGAACTTGCACGCATGCAGCCCCACTGGAAACTCGATACGTAACCGTGTACAAAAAGAGAGTGAAACTATTCAAAAAAAAGCCTTCATTTATGTTTTTTTAATAATATCTG